GTGGGAAGAGGATGATGAGTGATTGATGAGCAGCTCTTTCTTCTATTCCCACCTTCCAGTTTGTGGCCAAGGGTAGGTGGAAGATTTCCTCTGAACTCGTACCATGGGGCTTGAGGGGCTTTTTACATGTTACCTAGGGAGAACAGGCATGCAGGTATGGTAGTTATGGCAAGGTTGACCTGTCGTGTCATGGTGGCTCCTGTTCTTGATACTTCCCATGGACACATGCACATCATGGTGAGATGGACCCTTCACTCCCTGGCTTGGCTGAGCTCCAGGGAGTGCTGGGAGGTGTTGGATGGCCAGGGACATGCATCGGTCCTCCCTTTGCTGGTGGCAGGTACCGTGGACTGCCCTACATGGGGAAGGACCTGGCTCCATTTCCAGCCCCGATGGTGCTTGGTACAGCCCAGCCCTACCAGCTCTGCCAGGTCTTATCAGCCTAAATTCTTGGCAGTCAGGGGTTTTCCATCATTGAGTCTTTTGGAGGGGTCCTCTCCCCGCTACACAAGGTTACAGTCAATGCTTGTTGGAGAAGACCTGCCTCAGCCAGCAGCAGATACTGCTTCCTGCCCTCAGGGTTTGCTTTTTTAGGTGTTCCCATGATTTTATTGCATTTCTTTGCTCACAGACATGGGCCTTAATGCTGCCAATATTTTTCCTGGGATTGCTTTTCTCTGCTAACCCCCTTCAGCATGGCCGGATGCCCATGCTATATCTTTGATTTATAGTTCAGTGTCTGAACAGAGGTAGGTCCATACCTTAATCCCATCAGGACCAGCTTGGCGTGATGGATGGAGCTGGGAATGCTGGGGAGGATGAGGCTATGCTGCCAGCCCCGCAGTGCCACCATCAGCCTTCACTGGGAGGTCTTGAGGGGCTCCCCTGGGTCTGGAGGGCCAGGAGGGGAAAGCCTGCGGTTGGGTTTCTGGGCTAAGCCATACCAGACAGTTTGCAGAAGTTATTTTTAACCTTTTCTGGGCCACTGCAAGTTGGGAAATGCTGCCATTAGAAAGATGAATGCTGTGCTTTCAGACGCTGCAGGAAAAAGATCTTTGGGTTGGTTTTTTATAAATAGGTTTTAATGAGTGGTTTTTTTAATAGGTGCTACACCATCACCAGCCCTAGACCCTCTCTTAAACCCGCTGCTGCTCTGTGCCTGGTGGAGAGGAGATCCAAGAGCAGGTAGAGCACTGATTCGAGCCCCTGGAAATCCTCACTACTCCCCAGCTTGCTCACAACAGCGTTTCTACACCTTGAGAACTAGCCAGCCTTTCTGCAGAGAGGGGCACGGCTAGGTCTGTCTGCATGTCCCATCTGTCCCTCCCCCAAAACCTTAAACATAGCCCCAGCTAATGCAATGTTAAATTCATGCTCTGCAAGTCCCTGTGGAAGACAGCTCTGCTGTTCCCCTGACCAGTGACTCACAGGATGGGCGTCTCGTGATGTCCTTGGAGAGCAGAAGCCCAGCAGATGGGCAGGGGAGGTGACAGGGGTGTCTGGAGCCACGGGTGTCCAGAGAGAAGCCCTGCAGCCCCCCACCATGCTGGTCTGAGGGCAGCACCATCCCTGCCGCTTCTGCATCCCAGGAATCCAGTGAGGATTCATGGGTTGCCAGCCAGCAGCCATGGGAATGTACTTTTTGGGGCTTCCCTAAAGCTTTTTCCAACCCTCAGCAAAGCCTATGTAGGATTTTGGAAAGAATAGTGATGTTTGGCTGGTACCACAGGGTGTAAAGATCACGGAGCCCTGACTCAGGCAGCTGCTGCCTTCATGCTGCCTGCAGAGCTGCCTGTTGGAGTCATCAGGGTAGGGGAGGCACGCAGCAGGCCCTCCTGGCTTGCACGGTTGGATTTTTACCCTGCAGCATTGCCTTTCCCTCGTGGGAGGGAAAAAATAATGGTGTGAAAAGTGGGTGCAGGTGCCTTTGAGCTGGTTGCATGACGAGATGCTGTCGCCTGCCTCGCGCGTGTGGGGCGAGCTCTGGTTGCTCACTGGTTTCCTTCCCTCCCCCCCACCCCACCATTCATTTCAGATACTGTTTATGGCTTTGGGTAAACACATGGGGCTGAGTTTTTTCTAGTCTATATTTAATCCTAGTCTATATTTAAAGTGCTTTCAGAGGAGTTTGCAGACCATTGTCTCAGCCATGGCTGCAGAAGTGATATCTAAACAAATATTGCCCGGTCCACCCTTGTTTCCCACCACCCTACTCCTGACTGTCCTGTTTTATTCTCATATAGCCTGAGTTTGAAGGCTTGCTGGTTATCTGACCTGCCTCTGCATTCAGAAACCTCTCAGATCTGTCCCCTGGGACTGTTAGCTCCAAAACATGTCTCCCATCCCACGTCCAGCCATGGGGCGCATGCACCCGCATCCCTTACTGTGTGCGAGAGCGTTACTGCATCCAGAATGGACTGAGACATAGGCAAGATGCTGCTTTCAGGAGAGGAATACCTTTTCATAATCGCTCATTTTGATGTATGTTCTTGCTGCCTTTTGAGACTGTAGGTTGTATGTAGGGGGGATTTTTCCATCTGTGTTTCCACACAGTCACATCTGTCCAGACCTTTAGCATAAAGCTTCCCATATAGTTACATAAATTGAGTACAGGGGAGCATCCCTGCAAATGCCAGGCACTGTGAGGCGTGTGGATACGTTTGTGAGAGTTGTCAGCGCACAGCTGTAATGATTCATATAAAAATTTATTTGGCACTGGACTGTCAGGCAGGTGTTTAAAAATATATTCATGGCTTGCACTTTGATTCATGGGAGAAATCACCTACCTGTCCCTGGTTTCTTTCTTGCTTTGTGCAGTGCTCATCAAGCAGGGGTGACCTTTGGGCTATCCAAGTGTTTTTGTTTTTTAACAGGATTGTGTGCAAGAATTGCTAAAATTGGAAGGATAAACTTTGCCACTTGAGCTGTTTCTGTGATGACAACACTGTGTACCTCGTGCTGGATTTTTTGCCTGTGTAGCTGTGGAGAGCGTGAACCCCCCAGCTAGGGAGGGAAAAAAAAAAACCCTACTAGAGCCTGTCTAGTGTCTGCAGGGTCTCTTTAGGGGGAGGCAGTAAGTGTTTAGGGTCTTTGCTGGAAAACTTGCATTCCCAAACAGTGCCTCGCATTAATGAGAAACAACAGCCTGCTCATCGTGGTGGTGCTTTGCAAAGGGCTGAGCTGGATGGGTGGTGAACCGTACTAGCTAACGAGAACATCTTTCCTCCCTTCGTTGTTTCCAACTGACTGCTTATTGCTTTTTCTTGCTGCTGACGGCAGTTGCAAGTACCCTGTTTTACCTGGCCCAGCTCTGATAAGGACAGTCTTGACTCAAAGCCTGGTTTCTCTGTATTTAATGCCTGCCAGGACCTCTCCCCTTGGAGTGCTCCCAGCAGAATCCAAAACAATGCTCTTCTCAGAGAAAAGTGTTTGCACACAAGTTCTCCCTTCCCTTTTCTCGCTGGAGTCTGGTGCATCCCTTCCAGCTAACTGCATTCCCAGCATACCGGCCCAGGGGATGGCTTGGGAAGCATTTCAAGCAGGCTGGAGTATCTCCTGCTCAGGCTCTCCCCTGCAAATTTCCTCTTACTGCATTCCAGAAAAGGGCACTGAATCCTTCAGGGCTTGCTGCTTCTCCTTGCTGTGCCCATTGGAGAGACACCCGCTGATTTAATAACAGCCAGCTGCAGCAAAAGCATTCGGCGCTTGTCTTCATGTTTTCATCAGCTCCATATTCCCACATGAGGAATTTAGGTTTGGGGGTTATTTTCTGCTTGATCTGATTTTTCAAGCAGAGGGAGCAAAAAAAATGGTGTGAGAGGGGAAGAAAGGAAAAACAGTGTTAGGAGCAGATGAAAAGCCCTTTGGGCGCGAGACTAAAGCTAGGGATTCGGATGTAACTTTTAATTGCACGGGGCTTTATTTTTAGGAGCTGTTGGTGCTTTGCATCCAGGCTGCAGTTTCGTGGCAGGTTTGCAGGGAGCAGGATGTAGGGATGTCTGGATGGATGCTGGATGGCAGGATTTACCAGGATGTCAGGTATGTCGGACCACATACCTGTTCCCTGGTGCAAACCTGGCTCTGTGCTCCAGCCTTGTGTTCAGCTAGCAGAGAGGCACCAGGCTTGCCTGCTCACCCACATGCTTCTGGCCTTTCTGGCTCTAGAGGACACGAGTGACACCAGAAGCAGTCTTACCAGTGCTTGCATCAGCTGCTGCATTGGTGGTTGAAGTGCTGATATATTCTGCAGGCAGTGGGAAATTGGGTTAATTTTTCTCTTGGCTCTGGTATCCTGATGCAGCTGCTCTTCCACAAGGTTTCTGGAAGTGTTTCTGCAAACATTTCTGAAAAAGAGAAGGGAAAAACCTCTTTATTTTTATTTTTGCTCAAGTGAACCAGGGCAGTTGGTGGAAGAAGGGATGTTTCTGTGCTTGGTCCTTGCCTGGTTGGCTGGGCGAGGGGAGGGATGCAGGGAGCAAGTGGGAAGAGCCAGTCCCCATTTCAGGAGATTTTGGTGCTGTGGTGGGAGAGAGCGATGGCCAGGTTGAACACGCAAAAAGCTTGGTCCTGTGAGCCCTCCACACTCTCTAACCACTGCCCTGGGCTCCAACAGCATCTGCATGCTTGATGGTTTTATAAGTATGTATTATAGCAGCGTGCAAAAGCCCTGAAAGCTCTTTATGAAATGGGGAGAAGGACCAATGTATGAGCCTGGGAGCAACATATCCCTAAATAACTCTTAAAGGCAAGTGGGCTGCTTTGTACAGGGTTGAGGCCAGATGTAGCACTGTCCTCGCTATCCAAAGCCCTCGGTGATTTGTAGGCAGTGCTATGCTTACTAGGAGCACCCTAGTTATCTTTGATGATGCTTTAAGGAAAACATGAGGATGTTCTGTATCGGCCCCACAACCTGTGCCTGCGAAGAACGGCAGCAGCGCATGGGTGGCGTGGTGGGACCTGGAGCCTTTGCTAACATGCTGGGGTTTGTTTCTTTCTCTCAGGTGACGCTGGGGTCTCCATAGCCAGCTTTGCTCGTGGAGAGGCCATGGCCACCTAGTGCTCCCCGGGACCACGGGGGTCGGCTGGGCCAGAGATGGCAGCACAGAGGATCCGGGCAGCCAACTCGGGCGGCCTGCCGAGGTGCAAGTCGGAAGGGACCCTCATCGACCTTGGCGAGGGCTTTGCCGAGACCAGCCTCTGCGATGTCAAAGGTGCGGGGGCATGGGATGGGCCGGGGTGATTCCCCCCTTCCTCGGTTGGGTGCATCTTCTCACCCCTGGGGTGCAGCAGGAAGGGTTGGTTAGTAATTAGCAGACAGCAGCTGATGGGGAAGAGCAAGCACTGATGGGTGTGGACCTGACACAAGGAGAGGCAGCAGCCGAGAGGTGACAGCAACAAGGCGGTTTGCAAGGGTTTGTTTTCCCCTTCCCAAGAGCTGGGAGCTTGCAGGTTGTTTGAGTAATCCTTTTTCTTCCTTTTATTGCTTTTTCTTTAGCTGTATTTATCTTACCCACCATAAAAGCTGTGTTCGGGTGAGAGGGGAATTACTGTTCCCCTGGCAGAAGTGGATCCCAAGAAATAACTCCAGGTGGAAGTTAGCATGTGCCAAGGGCCTTTAAAAATAAACACGCACAAAAGCGATTGTTTTTGCAGGCCTAGCAAGAAGACACCTGAACATCAAACACTCTTGCTGCAAATTAGGTTGTTTTTAATTTGAAAATAGAAATTACTCGTATTCTCCAAGGGGTTTGCTGGTATCAGCACATCCCTGTTAACCCTGCTGCTGTGCCGGCTCCATGCACAGCTTGGGGAGGACACCCCATCTGATCCAAAGGGATGGGGAGACCAAAAATACCTCATCCTGCAGACAGCTCTGGCTGTGGTGCTGTAGTTAAGGGTGGCTTCCTACCAGGGCAGCAAAATAGTTTCAGTACAGTCTTTATATAATAGTTTTATGCTGAATAAATGCCCTCATGGCTTTACCTACCTGCTGGTGGAGGAAGTGGATTAACAATGAGTTGTTTAGGATGTGTACAAACTTCTCTTAATATTTGAGCCCCAGCATATTTTCAAAGACTTTTCTTTCACTCATCTGTGTCTTCCCTTACTTTGTAGTTTCTCTGTCCAAGAAGTGCTGCCAGCCTGCAGCTAGTGACAGCAGGCATGCGTAATCTGATCTGCCATCCCTTTGTCTCTGAGATTTTAGGGGCTTCCTGTGTTTCTTAAATTACCCTTTTCCCTCCAGAGAGTTTATGAGCCTCCTGAAGCAGGTGCTGTTCCAGTTCTCTTGCAGTTCCCTGTTGGTAAAAATCCAGCTCTCCTTGTTTTCATATGTCTGCCTAGCGAGATAACACATATTTGAATGTTGATGTAACATCACCTGTAGCTTGTTTCTAGTGCTTTTCACAGAAATAGGTCCTAAAAGTGAGAGCAAAACCAGTAAGTATAGTGACAGTGTATCTGCAGGCTTGACCCAGCTGTTTTTCTTGTAATTGGATCCTGCTTGGCAAAATGACTTTGAGCTGACACCACTGAAAGGGAGATTGAAGATGCTACTAGGACCACAGCAGCACTGCAGGAGGGCGATACTGTGCTTCTGTCTGAGGGTTCACACTACACAACCTTCTTCAGGAGTGGAGTTAGTTTCTGTTGAGGAGCTTTGAAATATAGGTGCTATGTAAAAGGAGCACTATGTAAAAGCGCTGGGTTTTTTTGGCTGGTGTGATGTGAAAAGGTAGGTGTATGATGTGCCTTTAGTTGTTTCTTACGCTGAGACGTGTTTCACATGTGCAAGAGAGGGGTTGTGGCAGAATGAGAGCACTTTTAGCCTGTGCTGAATATTATCTTGGGTTTATGTTACCTTGGGTTATCATACAATCTCTTTGAAGGGAAGGCATTTGCCAGCAGCAGGCAGATAACTATTTGTATGGAGAGTGCAACGGTAGTGCTAAAGAGCCAGTGGCCAAAGACCTTGAGATACTGCTGAGCAAACTGGTAGGATAATTCCCTTGCAGCAATTGTTGAGAACCCCCCCTAATTAACTTCTGTTATCTTAACTGTGAACACTTTAGGGGGTGCCTGCCATTCTAGCATGTACCCATAGGAACTTAGGGCCTAACACCCCAGGTGAAAAGGACAGCTGATGAGAAGAGACTCCACTTGTTTAAAACTCCCTCCAGCACATCTTCTTGTGCATCACTTATCAGGGGGATTAGCGAGGCTGTGGGATGCTGGTGCCTCGTACAGGAGCAGCTGTATGGGGCCCTACATCAAGGGGAGGCTTGTTGCTAAGGCACCTGACTGCATCAGGAGGATAACAAGTTACTGCTGCTCCTGTCTCTGCTCCCTCTGCTCTTCCCAGCTGTGTCAATGGCCATCCCTTTAGATCACAAACCCTTTGGGGAAGAGGAAGGTGAACATATCAGAAGTAGCAGAGGGAGAAGTTTTGTTTAAAATTTTTAGGGCGGAGTAGGAGGAAGTATCTGCGTGCTTGAGAGGTTATAAAGCTACCTTACTTCACAGCTTAAAGTAGCCAACAACCATTTGTTGACCTGAAATAAATGATTGCAGGTAAGCTGTGACTCTCTTGTGGATTGCTTACAGTGATGTTTTCTTCTTGGCTTTGCAGTGCCTTCTCCTAGTGCCTTGCTGGTTGACAATCCCACATCCTTTGGAAATGCGAAGGAAGTAATAGCAATCAGAGATTACTGTCCGACTAATTTCACCACTTTGAAGTTCTCTAAGGGCGACCACCTTTATGTCTTAGACACGTCAGGAGGTGAGTGGTGGTATGCTCACAACACCACGGAAATGGGTTACATCCCTTCCTCCTATGTCCAGCCTGTGAACTACCGCAACTCTTCCTTAACGGACAGCGGGATGATAGATAATCTACTGGAGAGCCCTGACGAGGGGGTCAAGGAGTTAGACCTGCTGGGAGAATGGACTGACACGAAAAGGAACTCTGCGAAAACCTACAATAACAACCCGTTCTTGAATGGAGTCCAGACAAACCCATTTCTGAATGGGAATTTGCAAACAGCGCCCAGCTCAGACAAAGAGTCTGACTCTAACGTTGCCGTTGACTTGCTGCTCTTTGACACAGCAGCTCCTACTTCAGCGGTTTCCAGTTCAGCCACTAATAGCAGCTTGGGTAACATTTTTGATGAGTTTCCATCCACAAACAGACTGGATCTGGAACAGCCTGTGAAAAGGGACAATCCCTTCTTCAGAAGTAAACGCTCCTACAGTTTGTCTGAACTGTCCGTTCTTCAGGCCAAGTCAGATGCTCCGGCATCATCGGGTTTCTTCAGTGGTTTGAAGTCTCCCACCCCTGAGCAGTTCCAGAGCCGGGAAGATTTTAGGACAGCATGGCTGAACCACAGGAAGCTGGCTCGGTCTTGCCATGACTTGGATTTGCTTGGTCAAAATCCTGGCTGGGGTCAGACACAACCAGTGGAGACCAACATTGTCTGCAAGCTGGATAGCTCTGGTGGGGCAGTTCAGCTTCCAGACACCAACATCAGCATCCACGTGCCAGAGGGTCACGTGTGCCCTGGGGAAACGCAGCAGATCTCCATGAAAGCGATGCTGGATCCACCACTGGAACTGAACAGTGACAAGTGCAGCACCATCAGCCCAGTCCTGCAGATCAAACTCAGCAACATGGAGGTGAAAACCTTCATCATTCTGGAGATGAAGGTGTCAGCAGAGGTCAAGAACGATGTCATGAGCAAGAGTTTGGTAGGACTGCAGTGCCTGCGGAGTGACATGAAAGAGGGGCCATATGTGCCAATGCAGCTGAGCTATTCATATGGGGACACGATCCAGGTGCAGCTGGAGAACCTGGAGCCTTGCATGTACATCGCAGCCGTAGCCCAGGGGCAGAACATCCTCTACCCTTACACCGTTTGGGATTACATCAGCAAGAAGATCACGGTTGGCGTCTACGGCCCAAAACACATTCACCCTTCCTTTAAAACCGTTGTGGCTGTGTTTGGGCATGAATGTGCACCCAAGACTCTCCTGGTGAACGAGGTCACAAGGCAGTCCCACGGCCCAGCTCCTGTTGCACTCCAGCTCTGGGGAAAGCATCAGTTTACTCTGTCCCGTCCTCAAGACCTCAAGCTCTGCATGTTCTCCAACATGACCAACTACGAGGTGAAAGCTAGTGAGCAAGCCAAAATTGTGCGGGGCTTCCAGATGAAGCTGGGCAAGGTCAGCCGCCTTATCTTCCCCATTGCATCCCATGACCCTAACGAGCTCTCAGACTTCACACTAAGGATACAGGTCAAGGATGACAAGGATGCCATTTTGACCCAATTCTGCGTCCAGACGCCACAGCCACCTCCAAAAAGTGCCATCAAACCAATGGGGCAGAGGCGGTTCCTCAAGAAGAACGAGGTTGGAAAGATCATCCTTTCACCTCTGGCTGCCACCGCCAAGTATCCAGTTTTTCAGGACCGGCCAGTGTTGAGCTTGAAGTATGGCAAGCTGCTGAAGACAGTGGTGAGGCAAAGCAAGAACCACTATTTGCTGGAGTACAAGAAAGGAGATGTCATAGCCCTCCTCAGTGAGGAGAAGATCAGGTTAAAAGGACAGCTGTGGACCAAGGAGTGGTATATTGGCTACTACCAGGGAAAAATAGGCCTTGTGCACACCAAAAACGTGCTGGTGGTTGGGAAGGTCAAGCCCAGCTACTTCTCTGGGCCAGATCTCACCACCAGCCTGTTGCTCGAGCAGATCCTGAGACCCTGCAAGTTCCTGACCTACATCTATGCCTCTGTGAGGACTCTGCTCATGGAAAACCTCAGCAGCTGGCGGTCCTTTGCTGATGCTCTGGGGTACTTGAACCTTCCACTCACATTCTTCTGCCGAGCAGAGTTGGACAGTGAGCCGGAGCGAGTGGCCTCTGTCTTGGAAAAGCTGAAGGAAGACTGTAACAACACTGAGAACAAGGAGAGGAAATCTTTCCAGAAGGAGCTGATGACGGTGAGTCTGAGATCTGACAAGGGGGTCCTAATTCCCTGCTGTGCAGAGTGGTTAGGGTGAGTGGGAGGTGGAATTTTCCTAATTCAGTCTGTAGAAAATTAAGTTCATCTTTAAGGTCTTCTGCAGGCTGCTCGGCGCAGCGAGGAGGAAGTTCAGCCCTGCAGTTGTACGTGCTGGTGGGCTTCTGGTTTAATGGGATCATGGCCATAAGTGAGGGACATGCTGGGTGAAATGCCACGGTTCCGTGTTGAGAGAGGGCTGCCAGCGCACTTACTTTGGAAGGTAGCTAATCTGAAGCCTCTCAAGATGAAGGTGATTTTGGTCCAGTGTTTTCATGGCATTGATGGGTCCCTGCAGCTGGGTATATAAGTTTCATTTTTCCATGTTGCACGCTTTGAGGGGTTAGCAGAGAGCTGCTGGTCTTCTCAAGCCTAGTGTCAAACCATACATTGCTGAAAGCAATACTGATGTAAAACTGGAAAGAAGGCAAGAAACACAAAAGCTTTTCATTCCTATATGGAGCAGGGTAGGTGAGCCGCTTTTCAGGTCATGTGCTTTTGCATCAGTGATGCCAAAGCACACTGGAGAGGGATTTTGCATCTGCTGTGAAGAAGGATGCCATGCCTTCATGAAACAACCTCAAATTCCTCTATAATAATGTTAGGTTATGTCTGCCCCATCTCTCTTTGAATGGCAGCAAAAACAAGGGCACCTCTGTGCTGGGTTGCTTTACGTCCAACTGTGGATCGTGTATGCAAATTGAAATGCATGGCTTGCTTCTGTCCTGAAAGGCATTTGAGGAAGTGCTGCCTGCAAGTATTTCTAGGATGCCGTTAGGAAGTCTCTTATGAGAAATCATCTTCGTGATCGTTTCTGGCATTTCATAGGAGGTGAGCCAAAGAAAACACAGGACTAAATGTCTGGAAGAGATTTGCAGCTCTCGCCTCTTAATAGGCTCTCCCGCAGAAGCAGGATAACCGAGTTACAGCAAATCATGTAGCTTAAAATGCCAATTGAATTAAGGAATAGCGACAGCTTCACTTGGCGATGATGGGTGCAGGCAGCAGCATGCAAAATGAAATTATGAGTAGGCAGCCTGGGTAAAGAGGACTGAAGCCAAATGAAGTATTTCATTTCCCAAACTCCCTTTAATAAGAAGGGGGAAATTTGAGGATCGAGTATGAGGTGTAAAGTGTTATGAAGAGTATGGAGCCTTTTGTTACTCATGGAAATATTGTCCAGTGAGTTCCTGGTGCCTGGTACCACTTTGTGGCCTGTGGGGCAATGTTCTAGCTTTGACTTTTAGGTGCAAGATCATGCCACCAATGCTGCTTCTGTTGAGGGATTCTTCTGGCCATCATCCGCAGTTGTCTCTCTTCTTTCTGGGGCCATCCAGGAAGAGAAAATACCCACCATGGTAGCCAAAGCTGGTGTCTAGCCCTGTGGTTCTCTCAAGGGAGGGTTTGCATCTTGAATCATTAACCTGGGTGAATGATGGGATGGGATAGAATGTGTGCTCCTCTCACTGGATGCTTCCAAGGGCTTTATGCTGTTTGTCTTACTGCTTTTCAAACCTGTAAGTGTTTCTTTTATTTATTCCCTTTTGTCTCCAGGGATCCTAGACAGTCTGTAGGTCATGGAAAATCTATGCCAGACCTCAGTGGGGAGACAAAGGGAAGGATAAGGCTCTTTGGATACTCAGGGAGCAGCTAACTCAAGGGGAAGGCCATAAGGCAGGAAAACATCACACTTCCCAAGGGATCCCTGGAGTGCAGAGTCCCAGAGCAAGTTTTATTTCCCTTGTTTGAACGGAGGCTAATCCCAAGCATTGGCTCTGTTTCCTGGTATTTGTGAGTCTGAGCCTGTTGATAAAGTAAGAGCTCCCTTCCTGGTGGAAGATGATTCTTCTTCTAAACTCCTTGCTGCTGTCAAATCCTCCTTAGCTTATGGAGAAATTAGATTGAGCCTGTTCTTAAAAAAAAAAAAAAAAAATTTTTAAAAAAAAAAAAAAAAAAAAAAAAAAAGTTTCAGGGGATGACAATGGAGCAGTAATGTATTATGTTGTGTTTAAATCTGATTTTATTTGTAACAAATGGACTTGCTTTCTGGCGTCTGCTGGCAAGAAGAACCGGTTGGATTAAGTGCTGATCTGGCCGTTTCATCTTAAAGTTGGTTGTCTCCTCTCAAAGGGACTGTGAAGGGAGAAATAGTAAGCAGTCTTATCTGACTTCAGCGTTGAATACACAAAATTGCAATGGCAGAGCCATGCACCAGCAGCCAAGCATGGAAAAGCCTGGTCATGATGACTAGTTAATAAGTAATCTGCATTTAATTATTATTTTTCTAATCTAGCACTAGCAAGTGGTGTGTGAAGGTAACTGGGGGAATGTTGCTCAGAAGTTAGTCATCACATCAGAAAGAGAAACCTACCTCTCTGCCCATCAAAAGCAGGCACAGGTAGTCTTGCTAAAAAAGCCTAAGCACAGATGCAGAAGACCTCGTTGCAGCTGGGCCACGGGTACCTGGCCATGCACTACCTGCTCCTTGGGAGCTGGGGTTAGACTTGTCAAGGGACACAGCATTTCTCCCTTTCTCTGGATTTATAAGATGGTGTTTTTATAGGGATTTGCATTTATCATCCTTTCCAATAGATGCTGCCTTTGGGAAAAACATGGGTCTTCTGGGAATGCTGCTGGGTGTGTCAGCAGAGAGCTATGGAAACTATGAACTTTTTCTTCTCCAGGCTCTTCTAAAGATCATACAGAAGATGATGATGGGATTTTTTTTTTTCCTCATTGTTTTCTATCATTTGTTCTGACTGGAGGTGTCTGCATGCTGCCTTTCTTCTACGAAAATGTACTGCCTGCAGACCCCAAAGAGCTGCTGATGAGCTCAAGCAGTCCTTAATGTCCTCCAGGGTGTCCATCGCTTGGCCCAGACCATGCCAGCCCAAGGTTGCTCATGTCAGCCCCCTCTTGCTCCTCCATCCCAAAGCAATCTTCTGGCTAATGGTAGTCCCTGTGCTGAATTTGGGTCCAGAGGGAAAGCCTCATTCCTGCCCTTCTTCTGTATTCATGGATACAAATCTCCACCGCATGCATAGACTCTGAACATTTCTCCCCTAAGGAACCACGCTGTGCCATGCTGAACTTGGTGGGGCTGTTTTCTATACGGCATGTCTTGTCTTTGCATGACCAAGTTGCTTGCGGCACAGAAGGAGGAGGAGTTGCTTGCAGGCTTCCAGCACCTTTTCATGTACAACACTTGTAAGCCTTACCCTGTGCCCCTATCAATTAGTAGAAGGCTGCAGAAATGCAACCGATGTCTGTCAGCTGTTGTAGGCTGAAAGGCTCCTTGCTCCATGGACAGTATAAACCAATGCACTTTTATTTTCTGGGGCTGGCAGGAAATCTTTACTGCCTTCCCATCCCTGGTGCAGCAGCTGCAGATCCTGTGTTCTTGCTCCTATGCAATTTTGCTCTTGGGGGAAAAACAAAGAAGCTGCCTGTGGTTGCTTTCATGGTACCCTCCCCGAACTACCTGGGAGTGTGGCTGATGGCACTTGGTGTCATTTCAGAAGTGATGCCTTAAGCACCCTGAGACACAGCTGGTCACCATGTTGAGGGAAGTTGTCCCACAGAGCCTGTGCCTGGCTGTTAGGTAAAAACAAAGTAATTGATATTTAAGATCAAGTGTGGCTCGGTATTCTAAATGTGTATGACTGACAGATGAGAGAAGCGAGTAAAAGGTGTTTAATGCTTAAAGCAAGTGTTATTTTGGGGAGTGCTTGTACAGAGCCAACTTGTTTGGGTCAAAAACCTGACCTCTATCCTAGAAAGGGTGATGGAACCTGTGCATGAGCATCCTCTCACCCAGTGGGTCTCATTGACCCCTTGGGGACACACAGGGCTCTTCTCCCCACGTTTGAGGAGGTCCCAGGTAGGAGCTGTGGAACGGTGCCATCCTGGGCACATCACCTGCCTGTCCTGCCTGCCACACTCGGGTTGCATCCCTGTCCCTGCAGCGGTTCGTGGGACACTAAATATTACTGCTTACAGTAACCACATCTCCGCTTCCCCCACTGATGTCTCAGGGGGGTGACTAATGCATGATAACACTTGGACTCCCTGCAGTGCTTTCCAATTTAAATGCTATTTTAAGAAAATATCATGAATTTTAAAAGTCTGTTTCCGTAACAGCTTCCTTGTGGGTCTTGCACTGTGCTTGGTGGGCACATGTAAACTTGGTGATGCTTTCCGCTCCTGGGGCAAAAGAATTTTTACTCCTTTAGTTTGGCTAAAGATGAGAAAGAAACAAGTCCCTCCCCAGCTCAGTTGGCTCCTCTGAAGCACATCGAAGTCATGGCTGGACTGCGGGGCGCTGCATATTTGTGCGTGGGAGAGCAAGCAGGGCTGGAGGACCATGAAGGTTGTGGTGATGGACACAGGCAGGGGTGGCTGTGCATCTGCAGGTGGTCTTTGGGGTTGCCTGTTCATTCTGGCTCGGCTTGCTTTCTTCCAGATGCTGGTTTCCATCATTAAAGGATGGGAAATGGGATTCTGCACTTCAGAGCTGGGATGCAAATTCAGCCTCCCCTGGATGTCTTTTAAGTAGAGGTGCTTCTGCGCTGCTTTGAACTGGGATTTGAATATCAAACCATCTCCTTTGCTGTGTGCTAGTCTGGTGGAGTAGGCTCGGAGCCACTCTGAGGTTAATGAATGCTTTGGAGGGTGCTGGCAAGGCACAGCCCAGGTCACGCCTCAGCAGGGAGCACGGCTGGGCTCTGAAGGATGGAGACACCGTGGGTGTACTGAGCTCTCCAGTGAGACTTGTGCTGGGTGAGGGAGGAGGATGGAAAGAAATTGGAGTGTAATCCCAAAAGCACCTGCTGGAGGATTAAGTCTGTTGTGAGCCCTGCTAATCCTGGCTGGGCAGTCAGGGCTTCCAGGGGAGCCCTGTGTCCACCCACCTTTCATGTATCTCTATGTCAGAGGGAGCGAGTCCTGCCCAGGCCGGAAAAAGTAGTGTGTTGCTGTTACCTCTCCCCCTTTGGCTGTGATGTTAGTGGCCGTGTGTCCTTCTTGCACCCCATCCCCACCTGGCTTTGGTGCTGTCCCTATCTCCCATCACCTCTGCCCACTCTCCTGTGTTTTCCCCAGCCTGTAATGTGTGTGTTGAGCCTCCCTAGCTCAAATCACCAGCACAGGAAGTAGGTGGTTCTGAGGCCCTCAGTAGGTTTCAGAGTTAATGTGCTGTATGGCAGGGAGCAATCCATGTTGTCCAAAGCTGCTGCTTTGAGTGATTATACAGGTTTCAATTACATGGCCCTCCCAGCTGCTTTATTTGATGCTGTTTTCTTGTTTACTTGGAGGAACAGGAGAATCCATCTCCTGCAGCTCTGTCCATTTTAACCCCTGTGGTGTGCTTTGCTCCCGCTGCCTCTGACCTTCTCGGCCTCCAACAAGAGATGAGAGTGGCTCATTTAGCCTGCTTTGCTAAATACCCGTTGTTTTGGGAACTGGACATAGGCAATTAAGCGGAAAGGCAGGTTTGAGGATGCTAAATCTGCCCATCCTTTGGACCATCTGAATCCCAAATCCTTCACCTGCAGAGAGGGTGGTGAATCTGTGGGCTGGGTGGTAATGTAACTTTGCTGGAGAGGAGGTGGTTATGGCACAGGTGTGAGATGGAAATGCTTCTTGGTGCCCTTTTTAAAAAAAAAAAACCAAACACTAGCACTCTTTTAAATGTATTTTCCTTGCTTAACAAGAGGGTTTATTACTTCCCTCATAATACAGGAAACCACTCTAAGCACTTCGGAGGAGCAAACAAATGCTGGTCTGCAGCTGTAATTAGATTCGAGCCCAGCTTTAAGCTGGAAACAGATAAGGGGAAAATCAACATGCATTTGCTTTGCAAATTGCTGGAGTGGTTTCAGGTGTTTCCATCTTCCCCCAACTGTCCCCGTGAAATTGCCTATGTGAGGATTTAACCCTTCTTCTGCCCCAGAGCCAAACCAGCTGGGGTTTGCTCAGACCCCCATGACAGGAGAGGATGTCAGGACCTGCGGCCGCACAAAGCAGAAGGATTCTGGCTGCATGAGGACCACCACGTCCACGGTGTCTGTAGTAAACAGACCCGCGCTGTTGTGAAGGTGTGGGTGATGTTCCCGATGGGGACATGTGTGCCAGTGTGGTTCCTTGGGTGCTCTCTGGTGTTCAGCATCCCTTGAGGGGCTGTCTCCTGCATCCATGAGCTGTGATTTGCCTTTACTGAAGTGATTACCCCTATTGAAACAGTGACCCCTTCGCATTTGCCCATCCTGGAGCTACCATCCTGATTCTGCTGGTGCCACACAGGAAAACAAGAGGGTACTTGGCAAACTATAGTCTGGGGCCTGTTTGCTTGATTTCTTTGTTTTAAAAAGGGGATGCCTGTTTCATAATATAAAGCACCTTTCTGTAGCCATTTGAGGTTCGGGGTGGGATTTGCCCAGGGACTGGGGTTGTTGCTGAGGCTGTTGTGGTCCATGGGCTCTGGCAGAGGTTGGGGGAGCCCTGGTGAGCGGGATGGTGATTCTGTCGCTCAGATACTCTCCTCTGATAATTGCCACTCAAACCCTTCCTTTCCTGGGCTGCGTTGTGGGTTTTCTCCTATTGTAGCTTGCTTTCCACTGAGCAGATATTAATGTGATTTGCTACCTGAAGACAGGAGCTGCTCTGTCACTTTTTCCTGCCTAAGTTGTTGCTAGCTGGAAAACAGTGATTGCTGCAGTTCCTTTTCCCCACTTCTTCAAAACCATTTTTAGAAAATCTCAGCTTTATGTCAATAAATGATGCTGAAGGAGGAGGTTTCTGCACTGGCACAGGAAGGCAGAGGGGTGGTGAAAAAACCAAGAACATCCCAAGCTAAGCGATGGTCCTGTAGTGCTGTCAACTGGCCCTTTGCTGGGTCTCACTTCAGCCCATCTCCTCCCGAGGTTGATGTCTGTCTCCCATCCCAAAATGCTCTGGTTGGCCCATACCCACCTGTCTGTGCTCCTCAGGGCTCATGGAGGCAAGCTGCACAGACTGTGCTGGATTAGATACCTTGATTAAAGGCATCTGTTCATCTCAACCCCTGGGATGCTTTAAACTGCTTATATTTGTGCCTGAACATCTTGAGGGGTTGCCTGGAAAATAAGGCTGTTGGCCAGCCCAGGCTGTGCAAGCCTTGAACGGGGGTAGGGTGCTTCATTTAATTAATGGGATTCCTCTTCTGTTGAGCCCGGTGGCCTGATTTCAACAGCTGTTGCTAGAAAGGGAGTTGGGAGGATTTTTAGGGTGGCTTCTCGAGGGACTTCCCTGCACGGTCCCCTGGGTCACCTGTCCTCTATCTCCTGCCTTGATTTTCTTGTTTGGTTTTCACCGCCGTCCTTCAGGCCCTGCTGAAAATGGACTGCCAGGGGCTGGTCGTCCGGCTCATCCAGGACTTTGTGCTGCTGACCACGGCTGTGGAGGTGGCCCAGCGCTGGAGGGAGCTTGCCGAGAAGCTTGCCAAAGTCTCCAAGCAGCAGATGGATGCCTACGAGGCCCCGCACCGGGACAAGATGGGGACAGTGGACAGCGAGGTGAGAGTGGACAGGTCTTGGTCTCCGTGGGTCCTCTAGGGTCACAGATACCTCCAGAGCATGTTCTTCTGGAGCACCCTTGGGGGATAAAAGGGATTTGGGTGTGCTGGGGAAATTTGGGGGTGTTTTTTCCCAGGAATATGCTTATTCTGGGATGGGGGTGTGTTGGGGATGGCATCACTTGCTCACCAGCCATCCAGCCTGACTCAGCTCTGATCTCCTCTGCCCCCTCGCTGCAGGCCATGTGGAAGCCAGCATACGACTTCCTTCTCACCTGGAGCAGCCAGATGGGCGACAGCTACCGTGATGTGATCCAGGAGCTGCACACTGGCCTGGACAAAATGAAGAACCCCATCACCAAACGCTGGAAGCATCTCACCGGCACCCTGATCCTCGTCAACTCCTTGGACATCCTGCGGGCAGCTGCCTTCAGCCCACAAGACCACGAGGATTTTGCCATCTAGCTCCTGCCGTGAAGTTTTTGTCCACATCTCGTTTGCTGGGGTTTTTTCTGTGCTTTTTTTCCCCTCTTTTTTTAAGTAGTTGACTTTAAAAAGAAGTGGAGGTTGCTCTCCCTGGGTTTTAAGAGGCCAAAGTTTGCAAGTTCTCCACCAGGACTGGAAATCATCAAGAGTCATCCCTCCTTGATAGGAAGGCATTCAGAAGGGCATGGCTTTTCATACAGCATTGATACCAGTTAAACTATTTCTTACTAAAAAACTTTAAAGGGGGAAAGAGGGTGGGAAGGGAATCACAAAAGAGGTCACATTTTCTAGGCATTTGCAAATAAAAGTCTAATTTTTGTAATAAGCAGTAAAGGTTGTAAGCACTTTGGAGGGAAGTTGTGACTGTTTTTTACATTGTAGAAACTGCTTTTAAATTATCATTTTTGAGATGAACGTTAGTCATGTAAATATGTATTTTAAGAGGAAGCACAGTAAATGCCCTCCCCCGCCACCACAGTCAGGCTTTGACAGACTCCCAGACGTGACTGTAAAACACCATATGAACTTTGGATGTCCTCAGCTCCACAAGCATCTTACACCAAAAAGGAGGGTGTTGGGGGTTTTTTTAATTCAGAGGCCCTGTGACCCGTTTAGTTGATTTTTGTTTTATTTTTGTGTCTCTGCAAACATGCATTTTCTCATTCGTGGGCAGGGAGGTCTCGTTGCCTGTTTTCAGATGCGTGGGTACCATTTTTAAACCAGGAGAAGTGGCTGCTGCCCCTCATGCTTCATCCCACCCAGGTGCTGCAGGACATCTCTGGAAGAAGCTGGAGGTTTGGGGCCCAGCAGAGACCTCCTTGGGAGATGGACCAGGAGGGTGGTGAGAGTGGCTCACCCTGCCATGGCAGCAAACTCCAGATGCTCCTGCTCTGGGGAGGAGGCAGGACAAGGAGAGGGAATTGTTGCCATCCATATACCCCTTTACACACGCAAAAAAAAAGGAGGAGGAAAAGACAAAATGTTTCTCTTAATTTGAAATCCAAGCTCGCTGGAGGTGTTCCAGATGCACTACGCAACTGAACGCTCATTGCCATTGATTCTGAGGGCTTTGAGTGGGACTCTGCAAGGCTCCTAAAGTCCAGTTTAACTTGTAAATAGTCTTTGCTATAAACCTGGTGCCAGCAAGCTAAATATTTGCGGCACCATGTTGCATGTATTTTTTCCCCATTTGTTTTATAACCAAGTCTTTTGAATGATCCTCCCTCCTCTTTCCACTCCCCAACTTTCAAATATTTTACATGGGAGGGAAATATTTTTGCACAAAAAGGTTATTTTAAGTGCAAAGTCTTCTTGTAGTGAAACGCTGCTACAATGGAAAGATTAGTTGTTAAAGGATGCTTTTCTTTCAGGTTAATCCCCCAAAAGAAAACAAAGAATGGGAAAGGCATCTGACAGATCGTGTAGGCATGACGGCCTCGGGAGGGAACAGTTTCCTTTCCTTTTCCCAAAATCATATCCCCAGAAACGATTACTCTCAATGGACCCCACAAGAAGTAAAAAGCACCTTAAATTTCTCCTCAGGGGCTTTAAGGAGTTTCCTATGCAACTTATAGCACAGAGAGAAGGTCTGTCAGCAGCCAAGCCCACTATCTGTCCCCTTTCCCTAGGGCACCCTAAAAGCACATTTTTACCTGTACGAGCAGCAATCTCCATTGCACTAAGGAATACCTCCTGCCAGAGCGTGTGTGCAGGCAGAAGGATAGTTTTCTCCTGGGGTTTTACCCAAATCTCAGCTTTCACCCTTCTCCTGACAAGGTCTGTAGCTCTGCAGAACAGCTGCTCTGTGGACCCCCTGAGCCTCCTGTGTTTCAGGGATGTCCCTGAATAATTTCAGTTTTGGTTTTTTTTGGTTTTTTTTTTTTTTTTAAACTTCCCCTGCCTTGTTTTTTCTATCTACCTCAGGTACTCCGTATACCCAGCTTAACATTTCAGCAGCAGCCTAAAACCTGCTGTGCTCAGCTCATCAATGGCATGCACCCTCCCTGGGACCCATGGGAGCACAGCCAGCACGTTTTGGGGCCAGTGGGGTGACTGCTGCATTCATTTGTCCTTGTCCTCAGTCCAAAATTTAGTCCCTCCTCACGTGCTAGGACTGGGCATACATCCTTTGGATGCCTTTTGTCTGCTAAATGTCAAGCTCTTCTCCAAAACTACTGCCCGGGCTTTTTGTTACCACCCTTTGTTCAGTAACTGGTTAATGTACTTAACATTTAATGTTCCTATTTTGGTGTTTGTTTTTTTTTTTAAAAAAAGTTTTGGGAAAAAAAAATTATTATTATTAAAGCTGTTACTATTCCAGTGCTCCCGAGTAGATGTCATCTACTGTTGTCTCTTCATCTCAAAGCAGCTTTGATGCGTGGGATTAATTTAGTGGGTTTTCTGCCATGTGAATGATGTGTTTCTTGCAGCACGTTTCCACACGTAGAGCCAGTAGTCCTCTGGGGCTGATCTCAGTCCAACCGTCCTCCATGCCTTATCACCCTGTACTCCTGGGGGAAAGTCACTGGATATGATCTGTCCTCTAAAGATGCTGCTTGTGTTCAAGCACTAGATAAGAAACTTTCTGAAGCGAGAAAATACTCCCATTTTGGCACAGAGATGTTTTTCTGGTTGTTTTCTGAATGAAGAAAAACATCCTTGTATGTAGCCAAGGCAGTTGAGGTGCTCCTGATGGGAATTGAGTTCAGATTACAAGCCACGAAAGTAAAATGTTAGGTATCAGGCTGTGGCTTCAGTTTGGCAAGGGTGAAGAGATGCGATGGTTTCATTTCATCCTTAGCACAAATGCATCTTGTGGTCCCTCATGGTGAGGCACACCATGGCAATGGCTGCTAAGCCAGGACTGCTGTGTCTCGCAGGTCATGAGGAGGATGTTGCACACAAGGATGTGCTTGTAGCTTGTTTGGCACCCATTGCTCCATCTGTGCTCAGGTGGGTGTAACTGTGTCCTCTTCTGAAAGCCGCGGTCCCTCCTCGCGAGGAGGAATGAGCTTGCAGGAGAACGCATGCTGGTGGCTGATGAGTGCACAGACCCTGCAGATACCAGGTCATCTGACTCATGGAAAGAGGCTGGAAGTTTCCTTCTCAGCATAATGAGACTTGATTTTCAAAGTAAAACCAAAGTCTAGCCTAGGAGAAGATGAAGAGATTAGGGAAAAAAAGTAACTTTTTTGTTGAATTCATGAGCTAAGGAAGGTACTGATGATCCCTTTGCATTGTTAAAGGGAATGAGCAAACAAGTTCCTCCCAGACTCTTCCAGAGATGATGCACCAGGAGCCAGCTGTTGTATCTCCTCCTTTTGTCTTCTGATCTCAGCCATCCCTGATTTCCCAAGCAGATACTTTCCCATCTAACCCATTTAATTTTTCAACCCTGCCCTCAGGAGGGTGTTGGCCTCCAGAGCAGGGTGAGGGATGTGCTGCCAGTATGCTTCTCCCTCTCAGGCTCACTCAGCCCTTGCTGCATCTTTCTGCCTCCGTTCAGCACCCAAACCCATGACTATTGTGGGATTTGGGCTGCGGTTCAGACACCACCCAGGCTCTTGCAGCTTCAGTTAATTCAAAGAATCCCAGAGTCATCTCAGTTGGAAAAGCCCTTGAAGCTCCTCCAGTCCAACCATGACCCTCACACTGACCGTTCCCAACTCCACCAGATCCCTCAGCGCTGGCTCAACCCGACTCTTCAACCCCTCCAGGGATGGGGACTCCCCCCCTGCCCTGGGCAGCCCATTCCAACACCCAACAGCCCCTTCTGGAAAGAAATGCTTCCTAAGAGCCAGTCTGACCCTGCCCTGGTGCAGCTTGAGGCCATTCCCTCTTGTCCTGGCGCTGGTTCCTTGGTTCAAGAGACTCATCCCCCCTCTCTGCACCCTCCTTTCAGGGAGCTGTAGAGGGCGATGAGGTCTCCCCTCAACCTCCTCTTCTCCAGACTAAACCCCCCCAGTTCCCTCAGCCGCTCCCATCAGACCTGTGCTCCAGATCCTGCACCAGCTCCGCTGCCCTTCTCTGGACACGCTCGAGTCATTCATGATCCCAGTTGAGGCTCCTTGGAGAAAGCAGGGTGGTAGGGTGAGCACTGCTGCAGCCCAAAGATTTGGCTGCAGCTATTGGAGAGCGTCTGTGTCGTGGCTGGCATTTGGACTTCAAAACTGTGCATTTGGGGCAAAGTTTTAAGTGGGAGGATGATGCAGTCGAGCCGCTATTTTACTCACTGCTGCTGATTCTCAGGCCTCCATTTCCTACAGATGCTTTCCTAGAACAGCTTGTTGCTCACTTTGTGCAGATACACCTGCCTTGAGATGTGCATGAACTGAGGAGAAAAACAAGAATAATTATCCCAGATTAGATTACACGTGTGGATCTGCCGGTTCAATAATGATGCTTTGTCATGCTTCCTTAAAACCCATGGATGGCTGTGTATCCTGTTGCCTGTCTTTCTTTTCTCTCATTTCCAATAACTAGCAAGTTTCCAATGGTAAGGTCTCTTAACTCAGCTGCCTTGTCCTTACTTGTTTCCTTTCCTCTGTGAAATTGGTCAGTGCCAGTAACCTGTCAGTGTGTCTGTGGTTGATGTTGGGAGCTTCATAATGTAACATGGTGTGAAAACCCACCCTCCGGCCTGGTGGAGGATGCCTGGTGAGAAAGCAAAAGGTGTGTGAAATGGTGTCCCACTGGTGGTCTGCTGTAGTGTTTTTTGAATTATTTCTGAATTATTTACAGAAAGGTTTGATTTCTGCTGGGGTTATTGGTCCCCTCCTGGTGGCTTTGGCACTGTGAGTTCCTCCCTGGGGTGATGCCCCACCACAGATGCCTCACTGTGTGCTGACTCACTCCTACACCGTCTAGGCAAGAAGGGCACCAGCCATCTGCTTTGAGCAGTTCCCCATTAGCTGCTTCACTGTGGACTGACTCCCTCTATTTCAACTTTGAAATCATTTCGTTTTTTTTCCTCAGGTCAATCAAGGCAACGAACTGCTTCAGTGCAGGTCACCTTGGAAATGCATTTGCACCATTTTTTTCTCTACTTCAGCCATCAAAATTGAATGATCATCTTGCATCAGTTCAGCACTAAATGTTTGAAGAAGATATGTCTGAAGGGGCAGGAAAAGAAAAGTCACCTCTGGGTTATCAGTGTCTTTACAGAAAAGCTGCTGTATCTATGATTTTTGCTTTGTCCTCGCCAGCTCTCAGTGTCCAAATGACCACTGCAGTATGTAATGAAAACTAGTCTATGATTAAAGACCCTGGAGGTCTCTGGACATCTGTTTTCACCCCTAGAAATCCCTGCTGAAAATCAATTGCTTTGCTTCCTTCTCAGCTCTTAATTAAATGCTCATTGTGGATTATCTGCTGTCAGGACACCCCTATCTTGCAAGGTGAGGAGCTGGTCATGACTGCTTAGAGGAGAGGAGTTGGCTAAAAGGTTGCTCCTAGGTTTTCCTCTTGTTGGCAGGTTTATTTTGCCACCAAAACCCCATCCTTCCCAGGGCTGTCCCCTGTGCCCACCCTCCTCTGATGGCCATATCCTCCGTGCCCCGTGGAGGCACGATGGTTTGCTCTGTGGAAAAAAGTGGTAGAAAACACCTTCTGCAAGGATCGTGATGCATCACTTGGAGTTCTGCCCTGGGTGCTGGGTTTCCCTGGCTCAGTCCTCTTCCAGGTTTGGGTTTGATTCGTCATCTGCTGGACCCTTATAACCGTCTCAATAACCCAAACCAGCTTGATCAGGCCTGTTCTTTCATAAAATGTGGGCTTGGGTGACTGTAAAGTATTGGAGATAGTGATCATCCCTGGCAGTGTAACCCCCAAAGTGCATCTGTGGCCTGACCCGCTCATGCCTCCCATCGAAAACCCTCTTTTTTGGGTAACAGGCTTTACATGAAGCATCTCCTGGAGCTTGCCTCTTCTCAACTCAGGAGGCTTGATCCAT